AATTCATGCTTTTATGGTATAATAAGCCTTTTTAATTAAACATAATATATTATGGGTTACACCCATAAACTAAATATGTCATTTTCTTAAACTTGCTTCTATCTCGGATATAGGCCTATTTCATACTTTTTTTTTTTGTAATTTCCATATATGTCTTCTATATTTAATTTTTTAATTTATTTGTTCTAATTTAACACCTTGTTTTTCTCATGATTCTATAGACATATATGTAAGAATAATACGATTCTTGCTAAACTAATCCTATCATTATTCAATATCTTATTGGATACATGGAAAAGTCCAAAAATATTTAAAATAAATCTAGTTCATTATTTACGATGGTCCAAAATATTTAATATGAATATTATAGTAATATGACTAAAACTCAAGTCGTTTTTTTATTGGTTAGCATCCAAAATTAGTTAAAGAGAAAATTTTCAACATTGTGAATCAAAGTTCGTGTTTTCGGTTTTTTTTTTTTTCCTTTCTTTATTTCTTGCAGTCATTGACAAAACCTCAAAAAGAATCGTTTTCTTTCTTTTCAAAGTAATTTTCTTAGTTACATGTTCTCTAAGTTTTGTCAACTGCACAACCTTAAAAAAAAAAAAGCTCCTATACAATTAAATCTTTATTGGCTTTGGTACGTTGCCTAGCTATCGTTACTTTACAATTAAATCAACTTTATCAAATATATTATGTTGTAATTATCAATAACAAAGTTCATATCTAATTAATCTGCTTTTACCAAGCTCTATTTACTTGCGATGCTATTCTTTCAATCCACTTTGATATATATATATATATATATATATATATATATATATATATATATATATATACCTAAACCAATAATGTATTTGCAATCTATATCTATTAATCAAAGAAAGTATCCAAATAATTTTAGATGTTTTCATATTATTGGGGTTCATACTGAATTTTCACTATCTTGGTTTGTTCCAATATACTAGAATGATAATCTAAAATGTTTTAGATATTTAATTTAATTTTGAAAAATAAATTTCACCCAATAATTTAATAATGTTATATGTTAAAAAAATAAATATAACTAATTGTAGTCAAAATAATATAGAGAACTCTTCAGTAATAGGTCTTAAATACAAAAAAAAATTACATTACTTTTTCCTTTATAATTATTTAAGCAAATACTTCTCCTAATTGACATCAACATTATAATTATTTAAGCATCCATATAAATGCAAATACTTTTTTCCTAATTGACATAAAGTAACCGATTCATGCTCACATAACTATAATTTTGATGTCAATCCTTTAATACTGTCATACATAATTTTTTATTTATTACGGCGAATCTAGAACAAATCTGTTAATCAAAAGGATTACAACACATTTTCTTATTTAAACACGTAGAATAGGAAAACCTATAGAAAGTCTTTTATTTCTTATTTTATGACCAATATAATAGCAACCAATCAAATAATACTTAATGGAAATAATGAAAATACAACTACATACAGACCCTTTTTAATCCTCACAACATTCTTATAAAACTAAAAAAAAGTGAATATTTCACTAATCACTTACCGTAACGCCGGACTTAGTTGCACTGTGGACGGCTTTTTCATGATTGTTTGGATTTTAACATGTGAAAGTTATGCAATTTTTTACACTTTGGTCCTTGATATTTTCGAATAAATAGTTCGATCCACATCTTCATTTGCTCATCTATTTTGGTCCTTGGGTGGAGAGAGAAGGATGGAAGGAAAAGAGAAACAGGAGGAGAGAGAAATCGCCGACCAAGCTTATTTAGACCACTTTAGCTAGCGAAAATCCATTAGATTTTTTTATATTTGAGAGATGAGTTTGTCCATAATAGTTTTAGGCCATTAAACAATTAGAGGAGGCGGATCGAGCTAAAAAAAAAAAAAAAAAAAATTCCGATTTGATTATGTATTTTTTTTTTTTTTTTTGTACATTCAAATGATATTTAAGATTTTAAATGTGCTTATTAACTATATTCCGATCATTTAATGGTGTTTGAAAAAAAAAATGTGCCAGAATTCAACTTCTAGAGGTTTAAAACTTGACCTCTAATTTTTTGATAAAGATTTCGATTACCTCGAGTTCGTCGGAAGTTACAATTTTTTTTTTTTAGTTCAGCAGTAGCCCAGGCCTGCTTTTTTTTTTTTTCTTTTTTCTTTTCCCCCTCTCTCTCTCTCTCTCTCTCTCTCTCTCTCTATATATATATATATATATATATATGCGCCAGCGCTGACTTTTTTCTTTTTTTTCCTTCTTATATATACCCAATTAACAAAATGATGATTTGAAAACGAGAATCAATACTGTGAAGTATCGTGCTTAAAATCATACATATTGGGATGACTAATCTTTTTAAGCAAAAATTACAGACACCGGACAGAGAATAGACTGCAATTAGCAAAAAAGTCATCCCTTGACCATGAATTATCACCTCCTTTGGTTGCAAGTGAAACGGTGAAAAGGAAAGTTACATAACAAACCCAAGCTTGCCTGCGCAAGCTGTCCTGGTCTCACAGGCCACCAGGACTGCCCCTTTTTTTTTTTTTCTCTTTTTTTCTATATATATATATATATATATATATATATATATATACTTTTTTTGTTTTTTTTCCTTTATATAATATATTTAAAGAAATATATTATATATATTATATAAAGAAAAAAAACAAAAAAAGTATAGATGTGAAAACATAAAAAATAAATCGTTTGTTTTTTTGTTTTACGTATGGTTTGAACATGATAGAATATATGATATATTTTTTAGATTTTAATTTAAACATATATATCTAATTATATTATTTTTATTATTTAAAATTTATTTCTTCAATTATTTATTTCTTATTAAAATTCTCATCAAATAAATTTTTTTATATAATTTTATTTGTTAATAAATTTAATTTTTTAATATATGAATTTTAGAATAAAAATTTAAACATCAGTGTTTTATTTTTTAAAAATATATTATTCTAATTTATATAATAACTCTTCTGCTTTTTCAATGTGTTTTATTTTTTGAAACATACTATTATAATTTATAAATTCTAAGATAGAGAGAGAGAGAGAGCTAAAAACATATTTTAGATATTTTGACTTAATTTTTTTTTAAAAAAAAATTAATAATCAGTTAAAAGAATTAACAAGTTTTTATATATATATATATATATATATATATATATATATATATATATATATATTCAGAATTTATCAAAACCAATTTTATTATAATTTTTATCTTAATCTATTGATTTTAATATATTTCACACAATTTAAGTGTTTTTTTATATATTTTTTATTTATCCTATATGTTCTAAATATATATGTGTGTGTGTGTGTGTGTGTGCACACGTAGTTTTATTAAAAATTAATATATAATATCAATTATTTTTTATATTCTAAAATTCGTTTTCTTAAATAAAATAAATTAGATAATGTTTTAAAAGGACCTCCCAATTATTCAAATATAAAGTTTTATGCTAATATTATTAAATATGTTTTTAATAAATATATATAAATCAACTAATTTTGCTCAATATAAAGATTTAATTATAAGTTATGGTTGTTTGACCATAGCGTAGTGCGAGTATCTAATTAGTTAACACTCAAAAAATTGACATTATATATATATAGATAGCATGGGCAGTTATATTCCAAATCTCATGATTAATTTTAAATTCGTTTTTGCCATATTTAATGTGTTAAAATTATGCCCATTAATGCTTAATCTTGGTGTTCAAATTTAACAAACTTGACCAAACATAAGAGGATCAGACCGTAAAACCACAAGCAGCATAAATAAAACTACAAGCAGCCAATCAGCACAAATAACCTGTCCGCAGGCAAACTCTGCTAACGATAAACAATACTAGATGCCCGAATGCATCAAACCAAACTAAGCACAACTAACAACAAGCCAGATGCCATTTCAGACTGCATGCCTTTCCTCTGATCTTATCAATCAAGAGTCCCTCTCATATCCAATGGAGGCATCAAGTCCATCCGTCCCTTTGAACTTCAAATCTCCTAATCATCGTCATACAGCATATGAAAACAAAGCAGCTAGATGATTGCAAGGTTCAAACAATCGCATACACATGCTTGCGCTAATCTCTCTGTCTATCAACATTCCATGTAAAAGAGAGACTGAACCTGTTTCCAGTGGCAAAAACATATCAACAAAACATGCCTGCACGTGTGCACGTATACAGATACACACAAAAGTTTCGGTAAATATAGGTGGTCTTTCCTAATTACCCTCAAAATTTGTCTAGGAAAGATAGGTTTCTAGCAGCACCTAAAAGTACAAAATACAAACGGAAGCATGGATGCCTCCTTTGGATATGAGAGGGGACCCTGAGGTCCTGCACAGGAAGGGGGCCCAAAAAAACAAAAAAAAAAAACCCTCAATTTTCTCACAAGTATTTTGCCCTTTCACGTGATAAATACCAATCATTTCCCATGCCTAGCAGCACAACTAAGAAACGAGAACTAATACCATATTCATTCCTGATAACATGAGCAACAATGTTCTAGCTCATTATGTGAACACAAACCAACAGATTAAACATGGAACTTTATTACGTGTTTGGTTCACTCAAACATGTCTTTGGAGAGAGATAGGGTGAGGAAAGGAAGGACTGTGGATATTGTGTTGGCCATGCAGACAAACAGATTATTCATTTGCTATGCATGAACTAAGTTTCTGGCAACAGATTACTCATTTGCTATGCCTGAACTAAGTTTCTGGCAAGGCCATATTTCAAACTGTAGATAGTATTACATTTCCTATGCTTAAAAATTCCCTAATTCAGTTAGTATTTTAATCACCTCACAGAAGTGAAAAAAGATGGGCAGCAAAAATTTGATAATAACATACATGTGAATAAAAAATCTACACCAAACAATTGCAACGAAAAAACAGATTCAACAGAAAACAAAATAAACATATTAAACTAAAGCACTTACTGGAATTGCCCCCTCAGTCATAGAGAAGAAGATGCTGACTGCAAATTTTTACTATCAACCTTCTGTAGCTCAACATCAAAAAAGTCTTGCAGGGCCCTCACTTCAAACATGCAGGATTTTAATTTCTCAATTGCATTTGCAGTTGCCAAAGCACCAGAAACTGTCGTTATTATAGGAACTTTATAAGCAAGGGCCATCCTCCTCAATTGCCGGCCATCAATTTGATCAAGTGAATCACCAGAGCTAGTGATCACCATCAATTGAATCTGCCCATTTGCAAGCATATCACCAGCATGTGGCCGTCCCTCGTGCAGCTTCAGCACTCTATCCACTGAGATGCCTTTTAATTCAAGAAAGTGAGCTGTTCCAGAAGTTGAAACAATCCTGAACCCAAGTCCTAGAAAGGCCTTTGCCAGCCTTTCAAGATGGGATTTTGTCAAGTCATTTAAGCTAAGGAACACAGTGCCAGAAAGTGGTAGCTTCTGCCCAGCAGCAATTTGGGCCTTGGCAAATGCAATGGCAACCAGAAAATCTATACCCATTACCTCACCAGTACTCCTCATCTCAGGTCCTAACAGCACATCACAGCCTGGGAACTTCTCAAATGGAAGAACTGCTTCCTTAACTGCAACATGTGCCGGGATTACCTCTCTTATGAAACCTATCTCATTTAGTGACTTTCCGGACATAACAAGAGCAGCATATTTAGCTAGCGGATGACCAATTGCCTTGGAGACAAATGGAACAGTACGAGAAGCACGAGGATTTGCCTCAAGCAGAAAAACTTCCCCACCCACAGTGATTGCATATTGGCAGTTCATGAGACCACAAACATTCAGACTCTTTGCCAACTTCGCAGTCCATGACCTAATTGTAGTCAAGCTGGAAGACGAGATAGTTTGTGTGGGAAGGATGCAAGCTGAGTCACCAGAATGGACCCCAGCCTGCTCAATGTGCTCCATTACCCCACCAATAACCACATTACCATGTGAGTCTGCAAGTGCATCCACATCAATCTCAACAGCATCAGATAAATATTTATCTATCAACACAGGGCGTTGTGGGTCCACCTCAACAGCATTTTCAAGATACGTCACAAGCTTGTCATCACTATATACTATCTCCATTGCCCGGCCACCTAATACATAAGAAGGACGGACAACAACTGGGTAACCTATGTCAGCTGCAATGGCTAAAGCATCAGCCTCACTCTTAGCAATGCCTCCTTTCGGTTGCTCAATGTTTAACTCTTTTAAAATAGCATTGAACCTTTCTCTGTCCTCAGCAGCATCAATAGAATCAGGTGATGTGCCCCATATGCGAACATGCCCAGCTCCACTGGCACTAAGAAGCTTATGCTCGTCCAAATACTGCTGGATGGGCAGAGCCAGTTTCAGGGGTGTTTGGCCTCCAAACTGTACAATGATCCCATCAGGTCTTTCCAATTCAATTACATTCAAAACATCTTCAACTGTCAAGGGTTCAAAGTAGAGACGATCGCTTGTGTCATAGTCTGTGGACACTGTTTCAGGATTTGAATTCATCATAATTGTCTCATATCCTGCACTCTGCAAAGCAGGAAAGTTACCACATTAAAAATTATGTACCAAAATGGTAACCATCTTCGAGTAGCAAAGTCATCCAAAAGCAGGTTCCTTTACATTTATTCCAACAGATTATCACAACTAAAAAACAAAAACTATCACGCTAGTTATTGAATAAATAAACTGGCCTAACTGAATTAGAGCAAAGCCATATAAAGATTCAGCACATTTACATGACCGTAATTCTATACTTCTAACCACAAACAGCTGCATATAGATGTCTACTTGTGCTTACAAAGTGTTAGATTCATTCCGTCATTGTTTTAAGTCCCTCAAGCTCACATACACAGATGCTCTTTTTCATGCCGTACTAAAGTTCCAACTGAAAAAACACCTAAAACATAGACATTGCTAAATTGTCAAAGTATACAAGCAATTAATGAAAATTAGGCACATTTTAACGATTCGATATTACTCATTTCTTGCAACATCAATCCAAGTTTATTCAATTGATCTGCCTTCAGAGTGAAAATGTAGAAGACATTTTACAAGTTAATTTCAATTAAAAAGAGAAAGAAAAAAGAAATATATATATATAAACCAGAGTGCTCTGATTAATAGCATAACATTGATGATGATGATTAGTGATTAGCCATTAAAAAAAAAAAACCTAATTAACAAGAAAAGGAGTTAAAAGACGTGTTGCATGTTGACTTATTGTTGGAATCTCAAAACATCAACTAAGCGACAAAGTCTTATATGCCAATATGCATAAATAACATGGTATTTTGAAGAAATTGCATGGAAATAACAGAGGAACATAAATAATACAAAAATTATAAAAACATACCTGGAGAGAGTAAGATGTATGGCAACAACAGTAATCAAACTCAATTCCCTGACCTATACGGTTGGGTCCTCCACCTAAAATCAAAACCTTTTTCTTTTTGGTGGGAGCCGATTCACACTCTGCATCATAAGAGGAGTACATGTAGGGAGTATTGGCCTCAAATTCTGCAGCACAAGTATCAACCCTTTTATATGCCGGGGTAACTCCAAAAGAAATCCGTTGTAACCAGACTTCCTTCTCTGTTGATTTAGTAGCAAATGCTATCTGCTTATCACTGAAACCGTGCTTTTTCACCTCAATGAAGTCATCCTTCGTCAGATCAGACAAACTCCTAGCCATAAGACATTGTTCCACATCCACCAGCTCTTTAAGCTGAGTGAGGAACCATTTATCAACCAAACACAGTTCGTGGATTTCATCAACTTTCATACCCTTTTTCATTGCCGCATAAATGGCATGAACGCGATCTGGATTTGGAACTCGGAGGTTGTATTTCAATTGTTCCAAGTCCCAGTCAAGTTCAGCAACTTGTGCACATCCCCATCCTGAGTAGCCACACTCCAATGATCGAACAGCTTTTTGAAATGATTCTTGAAATGTTCGGCCTAATGCCATAGATTCACCAACAGATTTCATCTGGGTTGTCAGGATTGGCTGAGAACCAGGGAACTTCTCAAATGCAAATCGGGGAATCTGGATGTCCATAGCAGAAATAATTAGAAATATGTAGGAAAAAATACGAGGCAGAAGATTAAGTGCCAAAATGACAAACAAATAAGTTATCAAATATGCAGCTAATAAGGACGATTGGAAAAGGGTACAAACTGAGCATACTGGTACTACAAAAGAAAGCTAAAATTTATGAATCCACAAAACCATCTCAGTTTTGTCAATCACATTAGTCCTGTACCAAAAAATACACGCTGGATTAAATAGGAAAAAACAAACAAGGAAGCAAACATAAGTTTTACAAAATAAGAAATATTTTGCATGGAGAAACAGAGGCAATGCAGGAACAGTTGAATTTAACATTACTCAAAACACACCAACCAAATGATAACAAACTAACAAGAATGGTCTAATGAATCTTTGTAACAAAAGTAAACAACAAACCCTAGTCATCCTACTCAAAAAATGCAATAAAGCATAATTAAGCATATCAAAATTACAACAACTACTTGCCTTAGTCACGACATAGTCAATAGAAGGCTCAAAACTCGCAGGCGTCTTCTTAGTGATGTCATTAGGAATCTGGTCCAATGAATACCCCACCGACAACTTAGCAGCCATCTTGGCTATGGGAAAACCCGTAGCCTTGGAAGCCAAAGCCGAAGACCTAGACACCCTAGGATTCATCTCAATTATCATAACCTCACCATCCTCAGGATTAACAGCGAACTGCACATTAGACCCTCCACACTCCACTCCAATCTCCCTTATAATCTTAATGGAATAATCTCTCAACCTCTGGTACTCCTTATCAGTCAAAGTCTGTGCAGGAGCCACAGTAATTGAATCCCCTGTATGCACACCCATTGGATCAATATTCTCAATGGAGCAAATGATAACAACATTATCAGACAAATCACGCATTACTTCCAACTCATACTCTTTCCACCCCAACAGTGACTTCTCCACCAAAACCTGCGAAGTTACACTAGCAGCTAACCCTGCCTTACAAATAGCCTCAAACTCCTCTTTATTGTAAGCAATTCCACCTCCAGATCCACCCAACGTAAACGCAGGCCGAATAATAAGAGGAAACTCCCCAATAACTTCCTCCGCGATGTGAACGCACTCCTCTAACGTGCCCCCAATGCCAGAAGGCGGAGTTTTGAGCCCTATATTCTCCATAGCCTTCTTGAAAAGATCTCTATCTTCAGCTTTTTTAATTGCATTCAATTTCGCTCCAATCAATTCAACATTATATTTCTCTAAAACCCCATTTTCCGCTAAAGCCACAGCAAGATTCAACGCTGTCTGGCCTCCCATGGTGGGAAGAATTGCGTCGGGACGTTCTTTAGCCACCACCTGTTCAACGACCTCTGGCGTCATTGGCGTAACATAAGTGCGGTCAGCCATGTCCGGGTCGGTCATGATAGTGGCAGGGTTGGAGTTAATCAAAATAACATCATATCCTTCCTCTCGCAAAGCCTTGCATGCTTGAGTACCAGAGTAATCGAACTCGCAAGCTTGGCCAATCACAATGGGTCCAGCACCAAGAATCAAGATTTTCTTCAAGTCCGTGCGTTTTCCTGCCTTCCCATTCCCTGTTATCACTTTCCTCTCTGATTGGGTGGCGGTTGTTTCTTTGCGTATGCAGCAGCGAATGGAGGAGGAGGAGGAAGAAGAGGTGATTCTTTTTGGGTTTCTTCTTTTGTTAGTTTGCAAAAAGAAGAGGCGCAAACGGTTGGGTTTTGAGAGAGACAAGGACAAGGGTTTGTTTTGGTGGAGGACCGAGAGAGTTTCAGAACAGTAATGGTTAAAGCAACAGCTAGTGCCGCTCATTTTTCTGGTTTTCTTTGCTCAAAACAGATAGAAGGGAAGGGAAGGTACGAGAAGAAAATGGAGGTTGTGGGAGAATAGGATAGGATCTCAAAAGGAATGGGAATATAGAAGGCTTGACTTCAGGGATATTCTCACATTTTGAAATTGAGTCTGAGAGAGCAGCTGACGGTGAAGAACAAGGATGGGATGTTTTGATGGATTAGGGTTTTTGGGGGTTTGGGTCATTGACACTGTTGTTTTTAAAGAGGATCTGAGATTGAGATAGCAATGGGCCGGTTTTAATACGGATACCCATTTTGTACGGTTTAATAAACATACATTAAAAATATTTAATGTGCATTGAAGGAGGTAAAAATGAAAAATGTATACCTAATAATATAATTTTAGGTTATAATTATTTATTCTTTATTTTATTAATACCTATTAATTTATTTAGATTTTTTATTAACCTATAGGATTCTAGTTGCATAAAAATTAAAAAATAAGGATCAAAATATTTTTTTAAAAAAAACTTTGAGGACCAAAAATACTTTAAATAAATGACCAAAATACAAAAAAAAAATTTCAAGGATTAAAAAAACTTATCTTAAAAATTATAAGAATTAAAATAAATATTTTTGACAAATTAAATTTAGCGAATATTTAATGAGTCTTAAATGGACAAATAAACTAGTATGTAATTGGTAGAATATTCTTTTTATAGATAGGGTAAAAATTGAATTAATGGAGGTTTCTTAAGGATGTAAAGATAGCTTAAAGTAGATGAAAGAAGTTATGCAAATGTAAGGAGGTTTTTTAAATAAAAGTATTGTAGAAACTATGAAGTTGAGGAAGCGATTTGGAAAAGAGAAGTCGAAATACGAGTTAATACTCGAATTGTTCAACTAAGAATTTTGAGGACAAAATTTTTATAAGGATGGGAGGATGTAATACTCGATATCCATCAAAATTGAAATTTAATAAAATTAAAGTGTTGTTTGGTAATCGAAATAGAGTGGTGGGAATGAGAATAAAAGTTTTATTCTCACATTAGTAATTGTTTGGTTAAAAAGAATGAAGTGAAAATAAGAATGAAGAGTGAGAATGAAAATGAAAATTTACACACAACTTCATTGCTACATAAGATGTGGGAATAAAAACAAGGAATGGGAATGAATTTTTTCTTCAAAATAATAATATATTTTATTTATTTATTATCTATTAACTACTTTTACCACCATCACCACAAACACCATCATCGTCGCCGCCACCACCACCACCACTCGTCATAACCACCGTCGCCACCACCACTACAACCACTACAAACATTATCGCCGCCATTACCACCACCACCACCACTAGAACTACTATTGTCATAACCACTACCACCATCATCTTTATTATTTTTACAATCATTATAGCTTGATAAAATTATTTTTTTAATCATTATTTTTATTTGTATAAAAAATCAGATATTGAAAAATTTAAGTTGCATTCCGATTCCTTATTAGTATTTCAAACGCAGTATAAAAATATAAATGTTATTCCGATTCTTGCATTCACATTCTCATCACTTTATTCCCGATTACCAAACAACACTTAAAAGTATTAAGAATATTTTAAAGGTATGGAATAATTCACAAAGGGTTGAAAGAATATTCAGAATAGTTAAAATAATCTTTATATGCCCAATGAATATTTCATGGATTTTACGATGCATGAATAGTGATTTTAGAGTGAAATAATTATTTTAGGCATGTTGCATGTGCATGAAAAATATTTTGTTAGCTTAGAAAATTTGGTAGAGGGTTGTTAGATTATTCTATGCTATTGAATGAATTTTTTTGATATTTATGAATATTTTATTTGTGTTTCATTGTGTATAAATAGTAATTTTGAGGTAGATTAATTAATTTAAGTGCTTTAAAAATATAAGAAAATTATTTCAAAGGTATAGAAAAATCCTTTAGGATGTGTGGGAATATAAAATAAGCTTAGATAATTTTTTTCTACATATAAGGAAAATTTTCCATAGAAAATAGTGTAATTTCTACACTAAATAATTAATTTGGAGGCCTAAATAAAGGTATAAAAATTATGTAAATTATGATTAAATTCTTTTAAGAAGTTTTTGAATTTATTATGAAGAGAAATTAACGTTTTGAAAAGTATAGATTAAAATTTTAGAGTTAGGGACCTAATTGCATAGAAATTAGGGACATAATTGTATAAAATTAAAAATTTAAACTTTTAAATCAAATTAGCTATGAACTTAAGAAGTTAAAAATTTGTTAAGATATCCTTAATGAAAGGGCATAAAGTAATTAATTGAAAAATTGAAGGATGAATGGAAGAGTAATTAGAGAAAAGATTAGTAAAATAAGAGACTAAAATTGAGCAAATTTTCATAAGCTTTTCTACCTTTCCAGCCAACTTTCAACTGTATGATTAGGGGTTAATTAAGGAATTTTGACTTGGATAAAAAGGAGAAGTTAGAATTAGGCAAGATGGAAGGCTAAAAATAAAAGGAGGGTTAATGGCTAAAATTAATCCATTTGAAGGGCTAGGATTTAAAATTTATTTAAGGGTTAGGATCACTCCAAATCACAGCAAATTAAGGCTAGACATGTGGACAAAAGTCTACCAAAATTTGACTACGAATATAGGTGCAAGAAATTCAAGAAAATGGAGGAAAATTAGCAAAAACCAAAGGAAACTCTTACAAAATTTCCTTAGGAATTTCCACCCAAAAACCCACTAAATCACCTCCAAACGCTTTAAATCAACCAACTAAGCAAGGAAATCAATCTAGAAGATCAAAATTTATCAAAGGAAGAAATTTGGATTTAAGTCGAATTGGTGGAGAAAAAGGGAGGAAGGAATTTCTCAAATCATCCAACCTTTGACGGTTAATTTGGAGAGTAATTGAGTAAGTTAACTTCACCTACACTGTAAGAAGTATTAAATTTTTGTTAACTCTGTGATTTAGATGCCTTAATTTGTGATATTGAAACCTAATTTTAAAAATTTGGGTTAGGGTTTTTGGTGATGAAAAATTGGAAGAAATAGAATTAAGCTAGAAATTAATGCAATTATGATTGAAATAGGTCAATTGAGCTTGAAATTGTAGTTTAGAAATAAAAAAATTCTAGGGTTAAAAAGAGGTAAACTTTCGGCCCAAATGAGTGAATTAGGGTTTTTTAATCCTTTGACTTATTTGATGTTATATAGCTTGATTATGGCTTAATTAGGTATGAAATAATGTTTAAGAATGAAAATTTTTATTTAAATTGAAGGAAATTTAATGAATTTCTTTAGGGTGACATTCAACCTAAACCCCTAAATTTTAGGATTTTGATTCTTTTACTTGGGTCATGAATGGTTGATAATTTTTTAGTTGAATAAGTATAATTTAATGAGTGAAAGTGAAAAATTCTAAAAAAATTGAAGAAATTTGCCTAATTTAGCTTAGGCCCAATTTCGATCTATTAAAGCCTAATTAAGTTTTATGTATGTAATTATTCTGTAAATATCAATTAAATTGATCCCTAAAGTTAATGTGTAATTAAATGACTTAGTATTAGAAATTGGTGATGAATTGAGAAGAGAATAATGAGGTTAGTGTGAAGGTAGCATTCGGCCTAAAATGGAGCAAATTAGGGTCTAGGTTTAATTGGTTCTTAGTACTTCAATTAATCATTTTGGACTTAGGATAATGTGATGGAATGAGCTAGAATGGAAACTTACATTAAAATTTGAAATCTAGCCTAGAATACTCAAAGTAGTGTATAAGCCTAATTTAAAGTTATCCGTGTAATTAATCATTAAATACCTAATTGAATTAGTTTTTGATGTTAATATTTAATTGAGTGAAATGACATGAGAAATTGGTTTTCATCTTAAAAAAAATTTTTGGTTTAGGTTAGGGTTACTATTCGGCCCAAATAGGACATTTTAGGGTTTATTATTTGGTTTGTACAATTTATGTGTAATTGAACTTCTTGGATGCTATTTAATGTGGTTGGTATGTTTGGGCATGTTACGGATGATTTTATGATATTTATAAATGTATCGTAAAATATTGTTATTAAATCGCAATATGAAATGTGACTTGTTATGGTATTTTATAGTGGTGGTTATGTCATTGAAATGTGAATGGTAATTGATCGATTATGTTTGACAAGGTAATGGTTATGGTGCATTTATATAGTCAAAGCATGCAAGGTCATGGCATAAATGCAATTACATATGGCCTACATTACATGAATTCTTAAGGATTATACATTTACATTAAAAATGCATGTGCATGTCAATTCATGAAAAAGATTTTATGGAAATGGTTTAAAGTCATGAAAAAGAGGATTTTTATGTCAAAATTTTTCCAATAGCAATTGGAAAATATTTTATGATTATATGATTTTCATGACTTTCATGGTTTTGTAAATAGGCTTTACGGGTTCCATGATTAAAATGGTTCATGTTCATAGTTCATGATTTATGGTTCACGGGGTCGAGAGGGGTGCGGACGTGCATTCCCAAAGCTCGACAAGATACGCATCCATAGACTAGTTTGGTTTTCTAGACATAACATGGAAACCCCGAAGTACTCGTGATGGGACATGTTCAAAGACAGAAAATGATTTTTAGACTGATCATAAAAAAGAGTTTACGACATGAAAAGGATTTTATATGAGCATGTAGAAGATTTATACATGCATTTTCATTTACATGTATAGCATGCATTAGTTAACCGATTGAGCTATCGCTCACCTTTTTGCTTGTGATGTAAAGGATTTTATATGAGCATGTAGAAGATTTATACATGCATTTTCATTTACATGCATAGCATGCATTAGTTAACTTATTGAGCTATCACTCACCTTTTTGCTTGTAATGTAGCTAATACAAATAAAGATGGTGCTTTTCACCTTTGAGCTAACTACCAATGAGTCCGTCCAACACGTGTTCATTGGATGTGGTTGGAGGATGGATCTCATACACACTATACCGGTTATAGTATT